GACATGAACCCCATCAAAAACCTCTGGGCCATACTCGACCGGCAAGTCAAGAAACAACCAAAAAAAACCAACTTTGAAGAGCGATCTACTCCAAGTTTTTAAGCATGAGTGGATGAAAATCCCACAATCTAAAATTGACGAGATGATTCTCACGATGCCCCAAAAAATCAACAAACTCCACGAAGCAAAAGGAAGATCTACTAGATATTAATTAAATTATAAATATATCAATTCATGTGAATATGACTGAAAAATTACATTTTTTCTGAAAAGGTGGTGTCTATTTACTTGTGACCACACTGTGTATATAAAGATAAACACTTACAATATATCTTACTCAATTTTGTTGATGTGTTATTTTCCTAAAGACTACAATGGTAGCTAAAATCTCAGAGTAATCTGCCATCAAATGTTAATAACCAAGATTTTTTTAAAACTTGCAAAAATTTGAAAAATAAAAGTGTTAACAAATGCCCTGTTTGCAAAGAAATTTGATATTTAAAATGGAAATAAAATGATCATAGAAATACAGATTTTAAGTTTTAATATTTATTTGAGACCAGAACAAATTATAGTAAATATAACCAATTATGTTTGTCACAAGACAATAGTATTAGGCTTAGTGGATTTTTAAACACTATATTCCATATTCGGTCTCTTAGTTTTTCAATAGTATTTTCATCAGAATAAAAACTGTTAGGGTATGAATGCCTTTTCTAAGCTGGCAAAGCATAATTATAACTAAGTTACATAACACCAGCATTCACAACGTAACAGTCACTGTTGCAACACATGGCTTATTTTAATAGCATTTCAGCCCACTACTGTGTTTGTTGTGTCCCAGCTAGCCTGGAGATCTCTGGTATTCAGTGTAACTCATCACTGGCTATGGATATGGTGGACACAGTGTGGTTGAAACACTATTTTATATTTTTCTTCTTTGAAAAACTTTAAGGGATCAAATAAAGAATGTAATAATTAAAAATCCAATAAGCTTACAACAAATAAAATCATATATCACCAGCAAAAGACATTCACTCCATTGGAATAGTAAATATAACTTACATTTGAATGTATACTCATAAAAACAAAAACTATGCTAACACTAGAATTGAAATGACATTTGTTCACTTTCTAGATAACAAAAAATAAATAAATTAATACTTACAGTTTTAGTACAGCTAGGTTGGCTTCCAGATCATAAGCATTTTCCCTGGCTTGGATATCTACATAGCGTTCTAGAGTTGCCAGATTTTCAGGGTTATATCTGATGAAGAATGTTTGAAGTTAACAATATAGAATGAATGTATTTTTCTCAAAAGGCAGCTGTTAGATAATAATACTGATCAGTAATTTCAACACAATTTCATACATGGTAAATAAATGATAAACTGTCAAGTGGAATTATTAGTGATTTAGGATGAAATATAAAATTTTATATCCTTATTTATTATGTCAGGTGTGTAAATTATAATGTTTTTTTTTACAAGGTATACAGCTAAGTGTTTAATAAACTAAAATAAAAACATATTTGAACTTTTAAAAACTGATTACTGCACTATTTTATTTGAGTCTGACATTTGTGTCTATTGTAGATCAATATAAGATACAAAGATCACCTTTTTGGAGTAATATCAATGACAAAAAGATAATAGAAACAGAAGTAAATGTAGATTAGAGTATATTTGAATGTAATAAGGCATTATATGTTGTTTTTATCTTAAAACATGCATTTATGTTAAACATTAAAAACAATGTATGTTTGTTACCAAAATGTGGGGCTTTATTAACTACTAGGATCCAATAATAGATAAAATATATTGTTAAACAAGAGGAAATCTTCAATAGCTGTGGCTGTAATTAGATCTCAAATCAGTCAAGAGATGGAGCCAAGAGTTAAAAGTTTGCTCAGAGCCATTCTATGAGCAGCTATGCTGTGGCTAAAAAAAAAAAAAGCACTATACATACACAATAGGAAATGTACCAGTATTTATAAGTATTCTATGTAGTAATGGCACATTGTCCAGTGTTAGGTGAGAGTATTTTTGACCAAATGAAATGCCAAAGTTTACCAACAACTCCAAGAAACAATTGAGTAGAAAATATTTACACTTTGCCCACACCTTAATGTCTACCTCTCAATCTTGACAAATTGGCATTGTTATTACTAACACAAGCTTCATTTGGCATTATGATTCTATCAGTATCAGTACAAACTTCCAAGTTCATTATCTTATTACCGGCTCTACTTTCATTATATGATACAACACTGGCAAAAACCTCTCATTCCTTCCCTGCACTGTTCATAACATTTTTGCCATGCCATGTCTGCCACTAATTACACAAGCAACTGCTCAGTTGAAAGTTTGTAGGACTATCAGCCAAATTACGTTCAAAAATATGCTTTGATCTCCTCATTTTAGGAATCAATATCTAACATTCTCCAACGAACAAGTCTATCCCCCCAAAGATTGAAAATTTCTTTCACAAAAACCTTTCAGGTAGCCAATATCAAGCAGCAGATATAGATGTGTCTCCTGGACAATAATACGTATTATAAACTTATAGTATTTTTTTTTCCAAGAAAAATATATATATCCAAGAGAAAACATGAAAGATAAAGATACAATGGTAACTCTATTTAAAGAAACAAATGATCTTCAGGCAATATATGAACAAAACCTTAGTTTCATCAATTAAGATAACCAATATCAGAAGGAAAAGACACAGAGGATATAAAATCTATCAGTTTCCAGTTTCAATATTGCCTTACTTTTTATTGAAATATCATATGCAGTTTGATACATCATTTAACTAAAAGTATTAACTCAGTCTCTCTCTCTTCTCTCTATATATATATATAATATGGCACTCAATATAATTTAAGAAAGTATCAGCTTGTGAGAATATAATAGTTTCTAATCCAAATACAATAGCTTGATTATTTATACTTTATAGTTTTAGCACAAACATGAAAAAAAATGACTTCTTTTAAATTTCTCTTTCTTTAAAAATATAAAACATAAGTATATTGTGAAATCCCTGTTTGTTTAAAAGCATTTCTGTGTTTATCGTGCAAAGTAAAATTTGTATTTGAAACCATTGAAGTCTTATATCTTTTGTAATTATCAATGACAATTAATATAACAGTTCAATATATTGTACATCTATTTCCAATAAAACATTTTTCCAGAAGAACTGGTTCTTAATTTTCACCTTCTTTTTTTAAAAAAATATACTAGGTGTACTTCCGCAGGTTCCCCCCAAAGTGTTCTATTTCAAGAGTAAATGAAACCAAAATTAAGAGTAACATATTTTTACCCACAGCATAATAATTCATAGAATGGCTCTGAGTTTTTCAAGTACAAACTTTTAGCTCAAAGCTCCATCATCTCTTGACTGATTTGAGATCTAATTACAATTTTGGACTCTGGAGGCCAAACCCTTTCAACTGATGTATTGAATCACGTCCAAGGTCTCACAGATTAGTTTACTCTAATCCTGCCTAAAAGAATTTCAATTTGAGGGTAGGCTAGTAGAGTAATAAAATCAAATCAGGTATACACACGCCCTATGCTTGGTATTGCTGGAACATAAAAATATAACTAATAGATGGGGAAAAAAGGTATCATAGATTAATTTACTCTAATCCTGCAAAAAAGAATTAAGTGCTGCAGTTATTGACAATTCCCTCTTGTTATTTCTTGCTTTTGAAGTCATGCTGTGATGTTGCCTACAGAGTGCATAATTCTTCTCGTGATTCATGCCATGCTCACATTTTACTGACATCATGACAATACAAATTGCAATGTTAAGTGTTCCTTATGTGATGTCATTTTAATGTCTACTGATTGACTGTCAGACAACACACTACTGTATAGTAGAGTGAGTGGTTAAAATAGGTGACCCCTCTAAGCAGCCTTTGCCCCTCATTCCGGAGAAATTATAAATTTCTTTTAAAATAAGTTATACTGCTGTTGATATTAAAGAATGATCTAATTTAACTATTTTGTTTTGCTTATCATAACAATTATTAATGTATTTTTTAACTCCATTTATAACTCTCCAATATTCAGTTATAAAAAAAAGATCCTTTATCCAAGCTGAGATCATCTATAAGATACATTCCAATTTTTATCCAATAATGGAGAACTTAAATTTGTTTTTTTAATATTTACTTTTGGATTATATCAATGGTTCCATGATAAAATAATTTTTAGTTATAATGTATACAATCCATAGATTCTGCCAAGGCTGACAAAACAAGATATTTTAAATGTTACTTTTGATACTTATCTTCTTACTACCATAACATATAAGAATTTGTATTTGCAGAAAGTAAAATAAAATTGTATTATTATATGATTTCAATAACCTATGTATTCCAGTAATTTTTACTACTTTAATGTAACTAGCAGAAATACCTGCCCTCCGGGCAGATATAACTACTAGTTCCCACGGAAGGCCATTGGACCTGCGACATTTTTCTGGAATTGTCTGATAGTTCTACAACAATGTACTCGTACTTGACATTCAATAATGTTCACCATCCTTGAGAAAAAGGATTTCTATTGAAATTTTAGTTTAAAAATGAGCGTTCATCACAGCATTACGTCACAGAGTAGATTTTATTGAAGTATTTCTTTCTAGATACAGTTATCGATGAAAGCGCCTTGCATTTCTGTGGCAACAGTTATGAGATTTTCACTGAAGAAAAACAATTTTTTTAAAGTTTGTTTTTGATTGTTTTATACTTGAAACTTACTCCTTATTTGTAATTGTTTATCTGGTTAAATCTGAAACGTATCATTTTTATGGAAATTTCAAATTTTTTATTTATTGCTTAACTATAAAAATACTGCCTAGTTATAAAAATATTACCTAGTTATGATTGGTGATGATCAATGCAGTAGTTCCAAGATCGAGTTTTGAACGTATAAATCGTAAGCTCCATTATAATAAGATATTCAAGTTCTATCGTATTTAAATCTCTTCATATTCTTTAATAAATTTTCTAGATATAATATGTAGTTTATTATCCCATATAAATTTATAAAGCATATTATTGATATTCTTTATAGTTATTGAGGACGTATTTGGTCAACTTCCTATGAAAAAATCAATTTCAAAACTCAAATTATTTGTAAATTAATAGACATTATGCATTAATATTGAATGTTAAGACTATGAATAAGATGGCTGATTATGGTCTATGCATCACTTTTTTCAACCAATTGAAAAATAATTGGTACTACAGGACAGAATCATTATATAATAATTAAACTTATTTGAAATATATTTTTTAAACAACAAAAAGTTGACCAACTTAATACTAATAAATACCACAAGGCAGAGTTATTATATTATAATGAAACTTATTGAAAATATACTTTCTAAACAACAAAATGTTGACGAACTTATTTCATCAAATAGTAACTCGGAAAACTGAATCATCATCTGTTTCACTGATGTTGTATTAACTGGAACTTACCATGATGTCCTATCATGGGTTAAAATAACTCCTTGAACTGATTAATAACTACTTTTGAAACCATATGATCACATAAATGGGTCATAACTTTGATTATAAAGAACATCATGTTTCATTCAAAAATTTTTTTGAAATTTTTGTATGTCATTACTTTTTAACAGTGCATTTATTTCTGTCATCAAGTATGTAATAAACTTATGCATATATTCAAAACTATGTTTTGTCATTATTTGGTGTAGTAATAGCTGTATTTGGTTTTGTTTTCCTCAAGAAAAAAATCTCCCCAAATTTTTAGTATTGATCTCCCACTGAGCTTGTCTGCTGGAATCACCATATGCATCACCACACTGAGCACTTAGACCATCCAAGTGCAAACTTAACTACATCTTCAAGGTTCAAAATTTTGATTATGCTAGCCAAATCAGTCTCCCTATTTATGTTATACATTGGGAGCTGGTAGCATGCATTTGAACAAAACTTATTATCTGTTGATATTTTCTTTTAAATTTCTTGTTTCCGTTCCTTAAGACCCTAACACACTGTTGACCAAAATATGTGCATGTACAGAACATAAAATGTTAACAGTACCGTAACTCAAGGATGACACAAGTGATTTTCAGTCTAAAAGTTGATTTACACTCAGAAAGCACATAATTTATTTATTCTTAATCACAATTAATCAAATTTACAAAGTTGGAGAAACATGTTGTGAACTGAGTGTTAACTACATATAGTCTACCAAAAATAATTACCAGTATTTATAGAGAAATATGGCTGTTTCACAATACCGCATTATTCAGTTGCTTCAAGAATAAGTAGCATTTATATTAAACTTAATTATCTCCTGAAGAAGCAATTTCATTACTGTTCTTTTTCAACATCAAAATACTTTACTGGCTTGTTTTAAGCTTCACACAAAATATCAAGAACCTTCATAATGAGATCACTCATGATAATATAAAAAAGCAAAATAAATGTACAGCTGTAAAACACATAAGGCAGTTCAGAACAAGTCAATTTCAAATCTTGCTAGAATATTTTATTAGAGCTATTCATTTAAAATACTTACCTATCTATACCCTTCAACATTGAAGCCACAGTTACCCTCATAACTTCTGCCATACTTTACGGTTTCAAGACTAAAAAATTAAAATAAAATATTTTGGGAGGATTAAATCAGAATTTATTTAATGAAAACACTAATAGATAAAAGAGATAAGATATTAAGCTTTATTTTTTAATAATCCTTTTATTTTCAACAAATGGGAACTGTATATAACTACTAAAAACAAAAAAAAAAGGCTTTTCTTATCTGGTCAGTGATTAACCTATAAGTTTGGAGAAGGGCCTGCAAAGATTGAAAGTATTGAGTAAGAATACACCAATTGTCTGTAGGCTCGAGAACATATAGTTCATACAAATATAAATAACTCTTAATATTAAGAAACAAAACTGTTCCCAGATTTTCAGTGCTTACCTGTATGTACCATAAATATGTATGTGTGTCTTTCATAGCAAAGCCACACCATGCTAAAAAATAGCTAGTTACTTTTTTAATATACTAATGTATTCCTGTAGAAAGTTTTCTTTTGCTCGTCTTTTTTAGCTTCAGACAAATATTTTAATTGGCTAACATGATTGTGGATCATGGTTGGTGGGTATATACATATATATATATAAAAAGATGAAATGTTTGTATCTTAACTCCCCCGAGCCTATTGGGCCAATCTAAACCAAATTTTATATGTAAACACTATGGACTACGGGGAATGTTCTTGGGGACAACATTCAACTTAACCCTATTTCTATTCTTTAAAGCCTGTTGGTCAGTTGCCCCCCAGCCTATTGAGTCAATCACAAACAATCTTGGCTAGTTGACACTTTAGACAATGTCAAATATTCTAAAGGGTTTCAAGGTAAGGCCAAAGTATGAAAGTTACTGGATTGTATCTCAAACAACCATGCTTTTCTCATAGTCAGTGAGATGTAGGGACATTGTAGGGTAGGATCACCTCAAAATCTTTATTTGTTAGTAGATGGAAAGCAAACTATAAATGTTGTTTATGAAGAAGCTTTGTTATAATTATAAAATTTTGAGATAAAGTTCATGTTCGAGTTATTACTTTGAAATATATGATTGCTGTTGAACTTACATTGTTTTAATTAAGTTTTAAACATTCCCTGTCAGTTGATGGGTATTTCAGCTTGTTATGAATAGAATTAAGTTATGGTGACTGGGGTTAATTTTTTATTAATTTTGAAGGGGGGAAATACATTGTTAGGGATAAATAATTACTCCATTTCAAGAATAGGGCCAATTTTGGCCCCAATATATGTAGTAGATTAATCAATGCTGATCTATAAAAGTTTGAATGTAATGTATGAAGTTCAAGTACTTTAGCAAAAATTCAAGAAAAAAAAACAATACAAAAAAAATGGAAAACATTGTGTCTTTGATTCTCACATTATAAACCTTTGTTCCCACTTTGCATTATTATGGGTTCTATTTTTACTGGAACCATTTTTAGTGTGTCCTACCTCCTCCTTTACATCATTACCAGACACCCTCATACAAGTAGAAGATTAAATGGAAATATGTAAACTTGTTAAATTATTTTCAAATCTGTTTTATTTTAGACAAATATTTGCACATTTGACTATATGTTACTAGAAACTCCTCATGTCTAGTCAACTTCAGAGTATTTTTGCAAAGTGTCAAGAGTAATATTTGTCTTTTATGAGATTTTAAGATGCAACTATTATGGAGGAAAAGAACATGTCTGACATGTTAAAGAATATTTTCCTACTCTTTTTACTAGGGAAGAAGGTGGGAGGGATTTTACCTTAAACATATTTTTGTTGAAAAAGAAGTTTTAGAATGATATGAAAAACTTCCAATTAGAAAGGCTTTGATAAAAAAGAGAGGGAAATACTTTTAATTGTTATTTTTCAATGTCCTCTTGATATCAAGTTAATTTTTTGATGATAGGTAGATCATCAAGTGATTCTTTTTTTTATTTTAAACAATACCTAGATACCTACTAATTTCAATTTTTAAATGGCTCCTTAAACTAATCTCAGCATGTTTCTAATATATTAACTTTAACTTTTAATTACTGTGGTTGAAATAGACTTATCAGTAACTAAGCTCCTCAAGATTCTTTGTTTAAAAATATTTCACTATGGTATTTAAGTCACCATATGCTTACTTGTGATTTAATATTACAATTTTTTTGTTATGTTACAAGTCAAAATATCATAAGTGTGGAATGTTTATTGCTGCTCTATTGGCTTCTTTAGTTATTTTTTAGTGACTGACCTACTCAGGAGATGTTTAGTTACTAGTTTGAAACATTTAAACTGTGAATCAAGACTCAATGATTTGAACTTGCTTACTCTGAAATGAAGAATGACTTAATACAACATGAATCAGCCTGTGATCATGTTTACATTTTTTTAGAGAGCTTAAATAATCTCTTTATGGAAGGTTTGTTGGTGAAGTGGAAAGAAGAGATAGAAGGAAATATGTATAACCTATGAATGAATGCCTAGATTCAAACAGGTTTTCAAGAACAATTTATCTTCTCATTAATTGTTAACTTATGTAAGTTGTGGAAAGGTTTGCCAGAAGATGGGGTGTTATGATAGTGTGAATTATTTTATGTTTATGTTGTATAATGTTATGATGTAAGGTGTTATATTCAAGTCAAGCTAATTTCTTTGTGGCTCAGGACAGCTTGGCACCTGGACATTTCGGCCTTTGGAACTTGGATGATTCAGCCCTTCATCTGGACATCTTGGCCTCAGATATTTGATTGGTTTAGTCACATTAACAGTTTGAATTGTTGAATAAAATGTTAGTAGATTTTTCTTTGATCTTAAAGGCATTAAAATTTAATGGGGTAAATTAATAAGTAATTGTTAAAAAGAGTAAAGTACACTAATTTGTTTTGTTATCAACTAGCTTAGTTAGGAAACTACACACACACACACTGATATATAATAGGAATACATGCCTTCAAAGGATACATTTCAAATGATATCATAATGGCAGTGTCCTAAGGATCACCTAAGTACCTCACACCATATATTTGTCACTATATTGCCTATAATGAACAATATACACATCCACAAAAAAGTCAGAAATATATTATCTTTGGTACCAAATTGTTAAGCATTAATTTCTTTGTTGGGAGACAACAATGGGCCAAAAGGCCTGCTATCTAGCATTTTTTTATGTTCTAATTTAATGGAGGTCAAAGCATCTAATCCATGGCATTACTGCTAATACTAACAGTAGAGTTATCCTGATGGTAGCATTATTTCAATAGAGGAAACTATTTCATCAGCCTACTTCATATTGCTTTTTGGAAAAATAATTAATAAATAAATAAATTGATATTAGTAGGCTTCTACTCAATTATAGAAGTTTTCAAGTTAACTTATATACAATTACAAATACGTTTTAACTTTGAACTTAACAGTTTTACATGTTACTAGTAACAGAAAAATGATATCTTTATCCCTGTCACTTTAATTTTATGAACTCGAACTTCAAGTTCAAGACATAACTAAAGTGAAAGTTCGTTTGTAATCTCAGTTTCTGTGCTTTATTAAAGCCTTTAGTTTTATCATATCGTTTATGCTAAACAGTAAACGTCAAACTCAAAGTAGTAGCCAGTGCAAAACTATAAAAACATACTTCAGTTCAAGTTCAAGATTAAGCAGAAACATACTGGATGACTAGAATTACTACTTTAACTTTAAGTATTAGCGATTACTAAAGTAATGCTAGAATTTACATTATTACTATACAGTAGAAAAGTAAAATAATGTTAGTTTTGTTACTACTACTACAAGTATGACTAGTGCTAGCAGTAGTAGTACTGCTAGAGAATAACGTCATCGTAAATCTTAATAATTAACATTCAGTACAATCGTTCTTTTTTTGACTGATACAATAAAACAGAAAAGCAAATAATTTTCCTAATTCCTTGATAAGTGTCAAAACGAAACAGAAGCTTGTACTTACAAATTGTTAATAAGAGTTAAATTTACCGTTCAGATCATTAGAGTAACACGTTTCCTACGTGTTAGGGACTATCAATACAACGCCCTCTCATCAACAATGTTTTTGAAACGCTCTTTGTTTGAAAAACGAGATGAGCTTGGGCCATCGATGCTATCGAAACCCGATTTTTAACGAAAAAACACACAAAAAGCCTGGAGTGACACAATTTTTTGTTAAATTAAAAAATAAAGGCGCTGCTTAATTTCTATGTTTATAGTGTTTCTATTATATTTTCTTCTTGCAGTGATTTCATCCATGTTTAGAATTATTAGAAAATTTTGTTTTTATCTAAATGATACAAAAATTATCCTGTCATCTGATCATTTTGGTTTACAAGAGTTTTGGCTAGAGACGGAGAAAATTATGAACTTAGCATCTATATCTATCTATTCATCTCTTGTTTTTCGTTTGTGCAATTTATGAGACCAGCAAACTGTGCTTAAATCTGGTAGACAATATATGAATGAGTTTTACTTAGAAGTAACCTCCTCTGTGACAATTTGACAATATAAAAATTTCTAAGTTCCTACTTTCATAACTAGTAATGAATATGTCTTTTGGTAGACATATTCATTGCTTTCATTTTTTTTTTGAAGTTGTTCTGCATGTAGTTATTTAGTGCTCTTAAAACAAAGATAAGTAGCAGCTGTATTGACGGTTAAGATTGAAGATACACAGAACTATACGATAGTTATAAAATTGCTTGCGAATCCGAGCTCTCTCTCGCATCAGACGAGTGTCCACCAACTGAGCTAAAAAAAAGGTTAACTCACAAGCACTTATTAGTACGGCATTTTTAGCAACTCAAAGTACACACATTCTTCCTCTTCCACAAATAAGGCCCGTCTTCGAGCCTTATCTCAGAATTGTGGGATAACAGCTAGCTGAGCATCAGTTTTTTTTTGTGGTAAATCCTTATTAGTAAGGTACTTTATAACAGCTTAATCTATCACAATGGCAAGATTCTGATGAATACTATGAGATGGCTAATTTTTATTTTTTTCTCTTTGTTTTTAAGAAAGGATGATTGTTAGCAATGTTATTAACACTGAGCATTCTATGGAAAACACTGGAAACTGCCTGAATCACGTAGATATTATTCCCTTGGTGGTAAGTCGAAATATTAAGAGATTAAAAGTACACTAAGTATCAGCACTAGACAAGGTTTTCCCAAGATTTTAAATGAGGTCAAAGATCAGATTTGTGAGCCTCTGCCCTTCATTTTGATAGATGAACAGACATTGGGCAGATGATTGAGGACTGGAGTTGTAACGTTATTCTTATTTGTAAAATAGGCAAGAAGAGTTTCCATGAAAAGTATAGTCCAGTTAGTAAGAGTATTAATTTTGTAGTGGGAAGATTCCTAGAAAGTCTTATAAAAAATCTTTATAAAGTTATTTAGTGAAATATTATATCATAAAAGAAAGCAAATGTGGATTTGCTAAACGGAAATCTTGCCTTATTGATCTGTTCACTGTTTTGGATGTTACTTGTTATCTGGATGATAGTTTGCACTTTACAAGAAGTTAAGATGGTAATTGTCAATTGCCTAAAGAATAAAGAGTGGGATTAAACTTTTATTTTTTTCAGAGGTGTGCGTGAAGAAACATATTTGTTTTCTTTTTATTCTGCTATGATGTACAAGTTCATTAGCTTGCATTAATCTCAAGCTTAGAACAATGTTTACGTATCATGAGGTGTTCATTACTGTTAATACTTATTTCTTTGTCATTGTTTTCCTGGAGTGTGCTCACACTCAGTTTGAGGGATGATACAGATACCTATAAAGTTAGTACAAGGTAGAGGTTTATATTTCTTGTGATTATAGTAGTAATGATTGTTAACATAAGTAATCTAGGTTTGTATAATATTGCACTATAAACTTGCATTTAGAAAGCATTCTTACCCGTTGAAGATAATCTGTAACAAAAACAGAAAATTCAGTCAGTTTCGTAAAACTTCAGTATAACTTGATATGTGTATAAATAAGGATATTTATTTATTTTACTCTTGTGTTTTTTTCCATTCCTGTTTGAGTGTTCAATTTACTACTTCTTAATTTATTCTAAAATCTATTGTTTATTGCAGATATTTGATAGTTAGCTGATGAATATCAGTGTGCCTGGATAACATAGATTAAGATATTAGATTATATTTGGTACAATAGCCAAGGTGTTTTATAGAGTTTATTTTAAAAATTCGTTTTTATTTCATTTAACTCGCTGGTTACTGCGATATTTGTAAACAATGATCATCATGGAAGAGGATTTTATGAAACTATATAAAACTTACAGCAGAGAAAAAGATGCCATGGTTGAGGTGAGAATATGGTCTCAGAGTTTGACAATGGACTTCTCTATGATCAGAAGCTTTCACCACCCATGATGAGAGCAATATTCATTCTTGTGATTTGTCATTGGGATTGAGAGGTTGAGTGGTGTCTTGACCTCTATTGATTACCTTCTGCACGCAGAAACACAGGATGTTAGAGATTTGACATGGTAGCAATGATCAGTCTAAATGTCTCATGACTAACTAGGGTAGACGTTATATGACTCTTAGACATGTGCTTACCAGTTCAAGCAAAGCTAGGTGGTGGTTTGAGGTGCAAATTATTACGGAGAGATGTGAGAATTGGATGTGGCCACTAGCTTGAGCTGATTCAGCAGTCAGATTTCATAAAATGTTATAGTGATAAGCTCCTTGGACTTAACTTCACGTGGTACATGCCTGTAATGTAACAATATTTTGATCGAAAATTGACATTTTAGTGAATATTGGATCAGCTAAGATATTACGCGACATTTATATGTATGGGTACTTCAAATGAAGCCATCCCTTTAGCCAGTTAGCACAAACTTTGTTTTAGTAAATTTTAAGAAGCTAGATGTGCATGAAGAAGTGAGTGTTTGGCTTCATTTTGGTAATAACACGCACCAAATTAGGGTAGTTGTCTCTTATCTCGTTTCAGGCATTTGTATCTTAGGGATGGACTCACTGTTGAAATTGACCGCTAGTTTTGCTTGTGAAACATGTTACAAGCGGTTATGTCCAAAAAAACATTCAGTGCTGATATGATTGGGCCCGAGAACCGTGGACTACATTTATACATGATGAATAGGTTGTAGTGATACTGCCAAATGTACAAGTTGTGTTCCATTGTGTGGCACATATACGGTTTAATATGCTGTCACTATCCGCAATGGTGATAGAAACAATGCATGACATATGCTGTTTTCTGTCTAGAAAACAGACTAAACTTGCTCAAACACTTATCTTTCAGAGTGCTGTCATTGTGCTGTTACTGTTCTGTAATTTTAGACATTCAGCTTCATACTACAGAGGGTTGAATATATTATATTGAAACGATTTTGAATATGCAAATCAGCAAGCTGTATGAATTTTACAATAAGCATGCCACTTATGAGAGACCAATAGATTATCCCTTACAATGGAAACGGTGTCTCATCTATGAACATGACACATTGGCCCTTGGTTTCATATTTCAGATTGCAACTGAGGACTTCAGACTGACATTCTAGTGTATCAAAGATACGGGCGTGAAATTAAAAACATAAAAGTGAATGTTAATACACATAGAAAACGATTTTCTTGGTCACATAGAAGGCGGGGACAAAATGTCAACTGGAATTCTAAAGACTTGTACTGTTGATGGCTTATGACCAATTTACTCAAGATAGACTCAACATTATCTGCATTGAATAAGGCTAATATAAGTTCTTTGTGGATGCAAAAACGCAAACACACATTCCACTCTTGAAACATATTTTGGCTGAAGTATCAGGCTTGTCCATTCATCCCGGATGTTGATGCAAATGATAATGGAACTGGAGTGAGGACAGAATGGAAGATGGCTTATGCTGACAGCTCCCCAGCACCAATAATAAACAATGAATAAGGAAATTATTGCAATTGTAGCACTTGCTAAACATTTCCATCGACATTTGTACGGTAAAGAGATCCACGCACCTTTAAAATGCATCTGGAAGAAACGATTGCATGTCGGATAACCAAGAGTACCACTTTATTGTCCAACACAACTTGAATCAACAGCACGGAAATACCAACAGATTATCTCACTAGCTGATGAGAGCATGGTATGTTATGGAAACACCAACAGATTATCTCACCAGCTGATGAGAGCATGCTATGTTATGGAAACACCAACAGATTATCTCACCAGCTGATGAGATCATGCTATGTTAAAAAAAATTCTGGCAGGTAGTTGTATATTGTCCTATAGAGGGAACCACCCTGGATGCAACTGGTCCTCTGTCCAAAAATAAGAGAGCTGGTCATATCTTGATTACTTCACCAAGTAGTTGAAACCCATATGTTAGTCCGTTGTTGATATGTTGGCTAAACAATGGGTAACCCAATTTCGAGCATATGGAGAGGTCTACATGGTTCAATAGCTAGTTATTTGCAGAGTTGTACCAACTGTTGAATATATGTGGCGAAAACTTCCACTTCACCGTATCTTCAGTCTGATAGTTTGGCTGAATATGTTGTGTAGACTGTAAAGCATACGCTATGCATGCTAAGCTGGAGAACGCTGAATGACCTGATTGCGATGACCACCTACCATATATTACACAAGTGAGCCATAATAACCAGTTGTCCAAGAGGATCTGATGTACGGTTCTTCGTCCAATACAAAGGTACTACAGTGTCCCTAATGTTATGTGGAGAGGCTGCATCGTTTAATAAATAATGTTTATGAATCTTCCAATACATTCTGTTTTTTTAAGTTTTCTTGCTATGTGATTTTTAATGATGTGCCAGATTTTAGTCACTTCGATTTATTTACTTATTCTAATTTAATTCTATTGTTGATTTCTATTTAACTGTGATTTTATATCCAATATTTTTTTTTTATCCTGTCTTGATATTCTGTATTCATTTTAACATTTTGTATTATATTTTAGTTCCATGCCCTTTCATTTGGAAATCTTATTTGATTCGTGTTATTTTTAAATTAGACTGTTATTGGCGGGCTGGGAGAGGGGGTGGAGA